GGCGGACCGGCAAAACTGTTTGGAGCGTCTTTGGTTCATGTCATTTTTTCTAGAAAGTAGGTTCATGTCATTTACAGTGTCTCACATTTTTGTAAAGTAATCAAGTAGCAGATACTTTGACATGTTGAGAATGAATCCAACATTGATGGGAAGAAAGACCTTACTTGGGCTTATAAGTAAGTTGGGGTACTCCTCATATTGCCAATTAGTTTTATGGTGAAACCTCAACTTTCTTCGTAGTATCAAAGCAGGTTGTTCAACGTGTGAAGCCAAATGGCCACATACGCTCCACGTCATTCCGTTGCGTTGTTCGCGTGTTAAGCTTGAAACGTGATGGGGCGTGTTGAGAATGAATCCAACGTTGATGGGAGGAAGGGTCTTGCTTGGGCTTATAAGTAAGTTGAGCTACTCTTAATATTGCCAATTGGTTTTATAATGGAACCTCAACTTTCTTCATGACAAACCATGGTGCTATGGGCTCTAATTTTTCTTGGTGGGGATCGCCTCCAGTTTTTTTTTTTTTTTTTTTTTCTTTGTCATACAGATTGGTTGATAATGCCTAATTAAATAATGTTACATTTCGGTTGTTACAACCTTTAATGTATTTTTACCGAGGTTTCGGCTATATTTACCCCTCGTTATACTCTCTTTTATAACAAAGGTAGGTATGGATGCTTTTGCCCTAGTCTATAACATATTGAAAAAAATGGTATCGGACTAGTTATTTATTCGAGTCCTACTTACAATTATAAAACAATGCGACTAGAGAGTGATGATAGTAATAATTAGTACAATTTTGTCTAATAAAATCTCACGAATTGCACTATTTCGACTTAGTGTTTTAGCTATTTCAGTTAGTTTCATTTTTAACCAAAATTTCTTGTTTACAGTATTTACTTTACATAATTCCGTCAAGATCCATTGAGTCTATAAAATTGCAATCCAAGCTATAGGTAACTTATCGTTATCTTCTTTATCTTGTTGATTTGTATTGTTTTCACTGTTCCTTTCAGAATTATTTCGTTAGCACTAGAAAAAAAAAATTGAAATTCTTTTATCATTCGAAGGCATAAAAAGAACATACTTTACATTGAGCTAGTTCCCCAATTAATATCACAATGGTTTTCCCCACTCAATGCCATAGTTGTATGATTAATAGTGTCGTAGTAAGAGCCAAAAGGATGTGGCTTTGTCAAATGCAGAAACGGAATATAGACGAATGGCAAAAGGAGTACGTGAGTTTCTGTGGCTCCAGTGGTTACTTGGTTCTCCACCAACATCTGCATCAAAATTATTTTGTGATAGCAAGGTGGCCATTGACATTTCTTATAATCTAATTTAACATGATCATACCAAACATGTTGAAGTGGATAAACATTTTATTAAGGAGAAGTTATATGTGAATGTTATTCAATTCGGATCAGATCTCTTGTCCTGTGGAATAAGAATGGTCATACCAGCGGAGTCACTCAAACTTGGCCTATTGTTCGGGAACAGGGTGACGGTGGTACCGTTGCTCCGTCTAGTCCAGCTCCGCTCAAAGCTGTTGAGTCCATGACAGAACTTCTGAGATAACGATATTCAAATCAGCATTACTCGAGCCCAGAAATATCATGTTCCTACATTTAATATATGAATCAAGCACTACCCTTAAAAGAAGGACCAATAACCTGACATGGCGGACTGGTAAAATCCTGGCTCGCTAGAGACCAAATTCAACCCAGAAAAATCTTGGCTCACTAGAGACCGAATTCACCCAGATAAAATCCTGGCACACCCGAGACCAAATTCGCCCAAACACTACAAGCACGATATCCAAATTGCCATCCAAATCTCGTAACCCAAATCCCACTTAAATTCCATTGGACTACGAGTTGGCTTGATGACATTTCTTCGAAATTTTATCCAAGGGTGTTTCTCTTGTGTCGTCATTACAAGAGATTGTAATTAAAAAATTATTTAATCTTGAATATGTCCGAACATGAACAATAAAACCGTATTCTTTTTGAATCGCGGTGAAATTTTGTTGGAATAAGTTTGTTCCCAAATCACAAATTTCTGTCAAGTCGGAGAGCTTGACGAAGTGGACAGTATTTTGTCTGGGAAGAAAATGAAAAGTTGTGGAGGACGAAGTGGTTGGAAAAAGTTTGGAAAAGCACCAAACTCATATACGATCCAACTTTTCCGGTTCATTAGAGAGATGGTGCGTCAAATTTACATCAAATATAACTTTTAACTCTAAATTTTCGTGTGCGTTAGAAATAGATTAACACATAGCACGGATAACAACTAAGCAGAAAGCAGAAGCAATGATAATTTGAGTTAAGACCGCCCTATGTCTTTTTTAGCTCGTGAGAGGAAAGAACGTTAAATACAAAAAACAGGGGAAAAGCCAAAACTAAACATTTAGGAATCATTATAATAAATTAGGCAAAATGTAATTCCAAAAAGACAAACAAACCAGTGGAGCAAGGTCAACAAAAAATTGATCATGATAAGAGGAAATTTTTAAAAACAAAGTCGGAGATGGATCTAATCAGGTACTGCTGCTGTTATTCTTATATAACCAAGTCGCCCCAGACTATTTTATCAACATAGGCAAATTTACTTAATAAAATGAATAAGAAAGCTTTAAAATAGGAGTAGGAAAGAGAATCGGAACAACGAGTCCCCTCAATCGATCCAATTCCTAATTTTTTTGTATTTGAGAGCATCTCGAAACCCTTTCAGTTTCACGGTTGTTGGGAAATTTGTAAAGGATGGATATTATTTGAAGATCCACCTCAACATAGAGTAGGTCCTACGCCAGTGTTCGGAACTGCATTCTCAGCTGTAGATATGGTGAAGATGGATTTCCTACCATTCAGCAAACAAGGGTAGAAAATCCGTCTTCATGTGAAGGTTCCATACCTAGGGCTATGGGACGAGACAAGGCCCGAAGGTTGAAGGAAATGGGCAAGGCAACGGATGATTACGCCACTTAACAGGAAGTGTCGGTCTCATTACAATTAATGGCGGAGCAAAATGCCTTTGCCGCGGAAGAAAGGAACTGTATGCATGAAGAACGGGCCAAACAAATACAAGAAGAGATGGATAATAAGAATATGAAAAGGAACACTTCGAATTACACTCCAATGAGTAAGACCTATTTTGATAGGAAAAAAAAAGAAATTATGACTCGGCAGCAGTTGTTTATCTCTGACTATACTCCTACAATGGCGGATGATGAAGATAATGATGATTTTAGATATTAAATTTAAATTGTTGTGGTTTTTAAATTTAAGTTGTTGTAATTTTTAAATTTAAGTTGTAGTTTTTAAATTTAAATAATAAATTATGTTTGGTCCTTGGTTGGAGACGGTTTTTTGTAACAGGGCTAAAACGAGCCCTATGACCCTATGACCCTCGGTTGGAGATGGTAAGAAATATAACCTTGCACTGTTTAATAAAATATTAATTTCTTGGAGGACCAGAGGGCTAAAACGAGTCATCTGACCAGCTTTCGGTTGGAGATGGCCTTAGCACTCTCAGTCAGGATGTAAGCATTTTATTAGTCTTTTCAATCATGCTGACCTGCAACATGGTTACAGAGAAAGGAATATGGTGGGGGATGGACTTGCTAAGTTAGGCCTTCCTTCGAGTCTTGGAACTTTTTTTGTACCCCTCCTCCCAGTGTCTCCGTTGTTTTAGATGATTTAAGTGGTTTCTCTAGGCCTGGAGCAGTTGTTGTTGGCTTTTGAGCTTGTTTTCTTTCTTCTGGGCTTTAGCCCCATTGTACACCAAAACAAATTAATTTAGAAGAAAGTACAGGGGAAATGTATTTGTGAAGGAATGAAGTGAAAGGAGGATGGTGCGATGAGAAGACGGAAGTGAAAAAGAATTAACTTTAAATCTAGCATTAAGTACCTAATACCCTCCGATCTTTCAGTGTCCTTCCAGATTGATTTTAACATTTTTAAACATTCTAAACAATTATCTAACAAATTAAAAATATCACATTCATTAAGCCCAGTTAAAAATCTACTAAATTAACTAGGACTTACTTTGTTTTCAAAATCAATAAAAGGTCATCAAAATATAGTCTCCACCAACTAATGATCACCGTCACCCCATCAGGCCATCACCTCCAAACCCAACGCAAAACTACCAACTCCACCTACAACGCAAGCCGCGAACATCTAGAAGAAGGTCATGGAGGTTGCTTAAGTATGAATTGTTATGATGCGGCCACCACCATCTTCATCGCCCACAAAGAAGAAGTTGAAGATTTATGAGCCGAGAATCGACGAACATGAGCAGAAACAAACTCTTTGAAACTCTTTGATACCCTTCTGATGTAATTTCAATCTGGATCCATTTTCAATTCAATTCAATATTCGTTTCATCATTGGGTTTCATATTTTATAATATATGTTGAAATTTAGATTTTGAGATAACTAATATTAATGTTGACCATATTATACTCAGTTGATGGGTTCTAAATATAATATATGTTTGAAAATTCATTGGAGCTTAACACGTGATAATTTCAATAAGTTGAATATTTACATAGAATATTTAAAAATATTGAGATTAATTTGAAATGACATTAAAATAATGAGAATTTTTAAGTACTTAATCGTTAAAAATAATTAAAATCCAAAAAAAAAAGAGCAGATGGGCGCAATAGTGCTCATCGATTTGTCTCTCTATAACAACTAACTATTTAACTTATTACCGCTATCATTAGCAAAAAGCTTAGAAAATTGTGCCTAAGCACTGACATTTCTTTTAGGAATAAAAAAACAAAGCAAGAAGGTGAGATGAAGGACAAGTACTACTTTTTTTTTTGGTAAAAACAAGTACTACGTTTTTTGATAAACAAAAATCATTTCTTTGCCAAAAAAAAAAAAAATCACTTCAAATTTTTTTATTTGATAAAATATAATAAAAAAATAACATCGCATATCTTTTCAAGATTGAATTGCGTTTTTTAAAGTAGTTTTGTCCACACTTAATTATTGATTAGCGCAGCAAAGAGAAACCAACAAGTTGTCGTTTCCTTGCATCAAAGAAAATAAAAACATCTCCTTTCTCTGCGTTATGTTCACTGTACAATCTAACTAGCAAGCAGCTTTAATCCAAATTCTCCTGTTTTTTCCTCATGGAGCATCAATGGCCTTCATTCCCAATCATGTTTGCCTTCTTGCTCTTTATAATCATGGTACTGAAAATAGGGAGAAGTGGCAACACCAACAACTACGCTTCAAATCTACCCCCCGGGCCATGGAAGCTACCATTCATAGGAAACCTACACCAGCTCATCGGCTGTCTACCCCATCACGGACTACGAGACTTGGCCGAGAAATATGGACCCCTTATGCACCTGAGGCTTGGGGAAGTTTCCACCATTGTTGTTTCATCGGCAGAGTTTGCCAAAGAGGTGATGAAAACCCACGATGTTATTTTTGCATCTAGGCCACAGATCCTCGCCACGAGGATCTTGTCTTACGGCTCTACAAACATTGCCTTTGCACCGTACGGTGATTACTGGAGACAACTACGAAAAATTTGCACACTAGAGCTTTTAAGCACAAAGCGCGTTCAATCTTACCGACCTGTTAGGGAAGAAGAGGTACTGAAGCTGATTAAATCGATTGCTTTACAATCAGGGTCAGCTGTCAATCTTACTCAGGAAATCTACTCATTGACGTACAGCATCACTTCACGAGCAGCCTCTGGTAAAAAAACCAGAGATCATGAGAAGTTCATATTTGTTGCCGAGGAAGCTGGGAAAGTAGCAGGGGGCTTCGCTCTTGCAGATCTATATCCCTCTGTTAGCTTGCTTCATTTGGTAAGTGGAATCAGGCCTAAGCTTGAGAGGCTGCATAAACAAGCCGACAGGATAATGGAAAACATCATCAACGAACATCAGAAAGATCTTGAAACTACAAAAAATGTTGAGGGCGAGTCAGTGGAAGATCTTGTACATGTTCTCCTAAAATTTCACGAACATGGTGGTGCGCTTGAATTTTCACTTACTACTAACAACATCAAAGCAGTAATCTTTGTGAGTACACTTTCTGTCCATATCAGAGATATCATGCTTTATTAAGTCAAATCAGTTTTCGATTTCAGTTTTATTACCCCAGTTCTTGTTTCTTAATATACGACCTCAGAATAATATGAATTCTTGTTTCTGGTTAATTATTAGTCTTTCTGAATTCTAATTCTACATGAACCTTTTTCAGGATGTTTTCTCGGCTGGGAGTGAGACATCAGCTACAACTGTAGATTGGGCAATTTCAGAAATGATGAAAAATCCAAGAGTAATGAAAAAGGCACAGCGTGAGGTGAGGGAAGTGTTTAATAGAAAAGGGAAGGCAGATGAAACAAGCATTAGAGAGATGAAGTATTTAAACGCAGTAATTAAAGAGACGCTGAGATTACACCCTTCTGTTCCCCTATTACTTCCAAGAGAATGCGGAGAGAAGTGCGAGATTGGTGGATATGGAATACCTGGGAAATCCAAGGTAATCGTCAATGCGTGGGCTATCGGTAGAGATCCCAAGTACTGGACTGAGCCTGAGAGGTTTAAACCAGAGAGGTTCCTTGACAGCTCCATTGACTACAAGGGAACAAACTTCGAATACATCCCGTTTGGTGCAGGAAGGAGAATATGTCCGGGCATATTATATGGTCTGGCAAACGTTGAGCTCCCGCTTGCATTGTTGCTATACCATTTCGATTGGAAACTTCCCGATGGAACGAAGCACGAAGACTTGGACATGACCGAGACCTTTGGCATCGCGGTCCGAAGAAAACAAGACCTGCACTTAATTCCGATTCCGTATCATCCTCCGCCTAATTGAAAAATCTCAAGTATAACAAAGTCAAATGCTTGTATGTTTCTTGTTATTGAAATAATCGTCGTCGTTTTGTTCGTAGTATATATCCCCATTGTTACACAGCTTGTCACATTATGAAGAGCCAAATTCATTTCAGTGGAGAAAAAACATAAACAACTAAACTGAATAATGAGAAACGTTGGAATAATTGTTGCTACGTTCGAATCTGCTAAATGATGAGTTAGATACTAAAAGATACTAAAAACAGAGGGATATTGAAACCCATCGCAATTTAGTCTATATACGTGAAGGGATGATATGGTGGTGTGTGGGGGTATTTTAAAAAAAATTAAGTTATTTTCTGATGAATTAATCCTAGATTGTTAATGTTATAAGCATTTGAGGAAGTGAGTGGGTTGCATTATAAAGCTTACAAATTTCGGTGGAAATGGCACCTTAGGGGTGGTGAAGGCGTCGAGGGACATTTGTTGGCAACACAATAAAGCGTTCCTACGACGCGAAGTGGCAAGGCGAGGCGTCGACAAATCGCCTCAAGGCGGTGCGAGGCGTACCCTATTTGCAATTCTGGGCAGTATGAGGCGTACGCAATTTGGTCGTGAGGGCGGTGCCAAGCGTTATACGCAATTTGCAAGTTGAGGCGGTACAAGGCTATGCCATTTGCAAGTCGCAAGCTGGTGAATTAGAAGGTTATTCGTGTTGTATCTAGTTTTCTTTTGAAATTTTAACGCAGCGTCTTGTTATAGTTTTTTCTCTTTCTCCTTAATTTTTTTCTATCATTTTTTTAATCTTTACTTTGTCAAATCTCCCTTTTCAGCATAATAGGATGATATATTTAAAAAAAAAAAAAAAAAAAAAACGTGTGAAATTCGATTTTATAGTCATTTGTCATATATTTACTAATAGTAATGTTTTGTCTTAAAATGGATCACCCACGTATACATGGCCCATGTCATGGGCTGTATAAACTGTGTAACCCATTGATCCTATCAACAACCTATAACTGTTAAGTGTGTACTTAGGTTCTTAGGTTTCTGTTGGTGCTATGGCTACTAAGTAGGTCTAGACTCCTTTTCCATTGCTATGGCTGCTAAGTTTTATGGCTAACATGTACCAACATGATGGTGGATTAAGATGAACAGAATGCTTGATTATATAGCGAAAGATTAAAGATACAAGAGAGAGATTCATAGAAGCAAAATTGTGTTCGTTGTAAAATATACAAATTCGACATGCTTTATGAGTTGATATGGTAATAAATTTTACTATCTACCATCTACCATCGTGACCGTTACTTGGTTTACGGTGCAGGATTGGTCCTGCTTGCCAGAGGATGAATCTGTTTCAACAGGATTTTTATTCCTTTCGAGGCAAAACCCAGGGTTTTTAGGCTGAGGCATTGTTGCAGTTTCACTACTCAACATCAAAACCACAGAGGCCATTGTAGGCCTATCTTCCGCACGCTCTTGGACGCACAAGAGTCCGACTTGCATGCACCTCAACACCACAGAGGGGGAGTATGAATCCCCAACTGATGGATCAAGTATTTCCAACCCCTTTCCTTCTGTCCATAGCTTCCAAGCCTGCAACAATTCCAAGCCATTTCTCTGTCAGTAGTGAATCTAGTTATTTTGTGGAAATTAATTATATGCGCCCTTTTACTTACATGTCCTAGGAGGTTGAGTTCGTTGTTCGCGTAATAAAATCCCCTGTTCTTTTTACCACTAATAATCTCCAATACCAGAACACCAAAACTAAAGACATCAGACTTGATAGAGAAGAGCCCGTCCATTGCGTACTCTGGAGACATATAGCCACTGCAGAACATCAATGAAGAGAAATTAGCATATGTGGTAAGAAAATATAGAAACCTTGTCACATATGCAGGGCATTGGTACTCACTATGTTCCCACCACTCTTTTGGTATTGGCTTCCGTCTGATCGTTACCAAATATTCTAGCCATTCCAAAGTCCGATATCTTTGGGGTCAATTCTCCATCAAGTAGAATGTTGCTTGCCTTGAGATCCCTATGGATGATCCTAAATCTTGAATCCTGGTGAAGATAAAGAAGTCCACGAGCAATCCCACAAATAATATCGAAGCGCTTTGGCCAATCCAGCATAGACCTTTTCGCATTACCTACAAGGAACATCATCAACTTCATAAATAATGTCAAAAATCAAAACTGGATATAGATTTAATTGTAGTTATTAAATGAACATGAAGTTGATGAAGGAACTAACTGAATAGAACAGAATCCAGGCTTTTGTTTTCCATGTATTCGTAAATCAGCATTTTTTCATCCATGTCGACACAGCAACCAAGTAACCGAACAAGGTTTCGGTGCTGAAGCCTTGCGATTAACTTTACTTCGTTCTTGAATTCTTCAGTTCCTTGTCCAGAGTTCTTTGAAAGCCTCTTGACAGCAACTAATTGACCTTCTACTGTACCCTGGAATCGGAATAGCGACAAATAACTAAATCTGTCTTATGTTCCTTCTCAAATTACTTTAATTTATGCATAATCTAGTAACACTGATTTCTAACAAAATGTGCTTAATTACCTTGTACACACAACCGAAACCACCTTGCCCCAGTTGATTTTCGTCTGCAAAGTTATTCGTAGCCACTGCTACTGCGTTAAAATCAAGCAATGGCAATTCTAGCTCATCGTTGCTCCTTTCACCCGAGTAGTGTTCCCTTTTACTTGAGATAACTACCTCATTTAGCAGAAAATCTTGGCTTCTTTCAAAAGAACCTGTTCAGGCAGAAAACAAAAACTTTGTAACTCAATCTCTAGTTACACACTCGTTGGCTGTATGGGGAGTGAATTGCTGCCACACCGGAAACAAATCTACAATACATGGTACATTGTCGATGTTTGACAAGAATTTTGTCGACCAATTGTCAATAGGATATCAAAATGGGATTGATTAAACATTGATAATGTACTAGGTACTGAAGATCGGTATCATCGCCAAATCGAAGTTACTTAGTACCTCTTTGTTCTATCCTTCCTTTTCGCGTAATACCAGATTTCCTCTTCCATACAAAAGAGATACCGAGTGCTGCTAGCAGAATGCTAGTACCAACTGTAATGCCTACAATAATGAGTACTCGTTTCATCTTCCCGTTGCCATCTGAAATGAACGTACAATAGTCAGTAATGTGATACTGTTATAAAATACATAGCTGTTTACTTTCCTAAGCATAACATTATCTGAACCTTTATATGCAAATGTCATTCTTTCTTCATTGCCACTCGTATATAGATTTAACCAGTAAACAATGCAAGAAAACAATTTATATGCCTATATGTGTTAAATTATTATTTATAACGAGTCTTTATACGTAAGAAGGAAGCGTTTTGGCATTCTTTATAGAATTTTAGGTGCATTGAGATAATAAAAAAGGTAGTACTGCAACAAATCTCTATGTTGAACAAGAAAGAGAAAACTAACGAAAAGTTCAAAAAAATTTCTCTTTTAATAAAAATCTCTTCTTAAAGGTATAATGAATAATATTAGGAAAATATATAAATGTGGTTTTTTGTTAAAAGTAAAAAGTACCGAGAGAATTTTGTTAAACCTCCCTAAAAGAAACCCAAAACCCTGATAGTCTGGTAGACTGGAACCATAGATAGGATATCGGAGGCAGATTTTCTGCCCTCCCATTTCCTATGCCCTCCTGTTTGTGTGATCACGGTTAAGCCACGTTAACATTTTATATTACTATTCATTTTTGTCTTATTATCTCTATAAAAAAATAATATAAAATGTTGACTTAGCTTAACCATGACCACACAAAACAAGAAGACACGGAAAATGAAAGGACAGAGAATCTGCCTCCTGCAATATCAGCATAAACAATTGTGATTAGAAATTTAATAAAAGTATAATGAGGAGGGGACCAAGTAGATGCGGATGCATACCAAACCCACCGGTAAACGGGGCCCACTTATTTTCTTTCTTTATTTAGTTTTTGGTAATTAGCCCACATTTATTTTATTTTTCTAGGTTCTGCACTTACTTTTCATTAGTTTAGCAGAGAACCACCTTCAATTATTTGCTGTGTGAACAATTAAAAGCACATGTCTATTTTCTGTTTTAGTCATAGGTGAACAGCTAAAAGCATTCATGAAATGGAAAGACTGCTACACTTTTGACATGAATAAAGGATAATGTTACACATCTATTTTTACTTTTTATATATATATATATATTTTTTTTTGTTGAATCAAATAAATTAAAAAATGTCAATAACAAAATATTAATAAGAATATATAAAAAGTAAAATGAGTGTGAAATAATTTGGTCCTCTAATATGAATATAGCACTCACAAATTACACTTTGCATCATACATGTTAATATTTGTTACGAAGACCTTGTTTGATCTCTAATTGTAATGAATAATTAACTTTCTAAATTCAAGATATATTGAAAGTAGAGGATAATAATTTTTCGTGCTAAGGAGATTAGAAAAAGATTATACATTGAACTTCTCATTTTTAATCCTAACATTTTAGGAAAATTAGAATGAATAAGTTTTTTTCATGCGTAATTAATCTCTGACCTCCAAAATGCAATTTTTATCATTTCTTCTTTTAAAATATATTGAAAATAGTAATATATTCGTTGCAATCCAACTAAAGGGATGCAAAGATAACACAAGTCAGTTGATGAATTATTTACACAATTCATTTAAAAAATATTAAATCACTACCTGGTTAGTCCAATTATCAAAAAAGGGTAGTGAAACCTCATTTAATCTCTCACGCATCTTAAAAATTTATTGAAAAATTGAAAGGTTTAGAGTTTAAGGTTTAGGGTTTGTGGGAGATAAAATAAAGTGTGTAAAAGTCGCCACCTATATATAGAATTATATAAATACCAATTAAAGAGAGTGTGAGTTAAAATTACTGGTCCTTTACCTCAAGTACATAAGAGTCATTACAAAATATTAAGATCAGTCGTACACCTTCACATGAATTAGTCTTGACAAGTCATGCTAAGTGACACACAAATTAAGAACACTCAAAACAAAACTCATGCATGCATGCACAATTAATCCTACTTAGGGGTGGTT